GTTATAGATAAGTGAAACACATACATACTCAGTGAATGCATACTTGCAAAATAATAAAATAATAATAACAATAACTTGTTCTAATATTGTGAGTCAAACACAAAAAGAAATGTGCTTAATTCCTAATTATAAAAGTGGTTAAAACTGCTGTGGCTGGGCAGGTTGGTCGTAAAATTTGCTCAACATTTTCAACAACATGAAATGTAATTTTTTTTAAATTGGAAATCCAAAATAGTTAATTTTTTTGGAAAATGAGAATACGATCTAATGGACATGAGCATGTCAGTAAATGTGCATTTGTGCAACTGCGTGTCATGCCATGTGTACTGCTATACATTATGAGTATAACTTTACATGACTGTAATGAGGGGAGGGCATGGTAGCTTTGTATGTGCGTGACTCCTGGATAGTATTTGAGGGTCAAGGGATTACAGACATGTCTTGTTAAATTAGACTGCAGTGGCTGACTGCTGTGACTTAGTTAAGGACTCAGCTGTCTCGGTGGAACCTGGGTCTGCCTTTGTGATGAGCTACAGACAAACATGTAGAAACATATCACTGATCCTCCCCTTTGAGAGTTTCATGATACCTTACTCTGCTGTGTATATCGTTTTTTAACCACTTGAAGGCTCCCTTTAGTGCCAACAGATTTTGAAAGCATACTTTTATTCAAACAGACTCTGATACGTGCTTTTTGACTGAACACTAGTAAAAAAAAAATCTAAATTATCTAAACGTTACTTATCATAGATGATCATGTGAAAAGTAACAATATCCCATTATACTTTTTAAAAAAGTTTTCAACAAGCAAAAAACTGTTGCTGTTTGAGACGCTGCTTAATAATAATTCTAGTAAATAAAATAAAATTGAGGCATTTAATTGCCATTTTCTCAGCCATTTCATTTAAATAAAATAAACAAAGAAAAATAAGAATACCAAAATCAAAAATTTGAAAAAAGTAAATACATCACTTATGTACCCTTCAAATCCATGAAATGGGAATCAGGTGTTCAGGATACTCTGATAATTACAAACTCTTTAGGAAGTGACAGGTTGAAATTGTCTCACTTAAACCTGTGACATAAGATCCGGTCTTCATTTACTTTCCATGTGTGTAGTGTTGTTGTATCCATATCTGAAAAGCTCTCTAAGAGCTCTAAGAAATATTGTAAAAAATATTTCCAAAACAATCTGAAATAAATAATTCCACTGTAAGCTAAATTAAATTAAGTAATAATATACTTTAAATGACTACTAATTTGTCCATTAATTGTTCCCCAGAGAATTCAGCCAATCAGCAGATCCTTTGATGAGATCTCATCAAAGGATCTGCAGTTAGCTTTGTTATCTGCTGGTGTCTGCTCAACCGGAAGCCACTAAGTAAGATACGAAACCCAAGTTGCTCTCTGATACATCGATCATCTTGCTTGTAAAGTGCTTGTGTGTGAATGGGGGAATGAGACATGTTGTATAAAGCTCAGCTGGAGTAGAAACACTGAATACAAAAAAATTATTTATTTCCCATTTACCATAATTTGTCCTTTGTCAAACTCAGTCAAATCCTCATGCTTGCTGATTTTTTCCTGCTTCTGAACTTTGAGGACAACATTTTCATTTGCTCCCTAATATAGCCCACCCACTAATGCACTTCACCTGTCAGTATGTCACAATGTTATTGTCTGTATATGCAAAGACCAGGCCTTTTGGAACAATGTGCTCAGGAAAAGAGAAATCAAATATTATTCTTTTTGTAATAATATTAATACGCATGTTTGACACAGATCAGAATCAAGTTTTCAGGAGCAAAAAAACCTTATTGTCAGTGAATGAATCACCAAATTGTGTGTTTAGAGGGAATTTGCTGCCTGACTGCAGATTTTACAGTCATTCATCCCACTATGAATTCTGCATTATATTGAAGAGTGCCTAAAGACAATGAAAGGCTGTCTGAAGTTTCACACTAGTAGTATACACATTAGTAGATGCACCAAGGAATGGCTCAAATAAAGAAAAAGGGGTAGTTATGGAATGGCTTAGTCATAGCTCAGATTTGAATCCTGTTGAAAGATTGGGAGTGAAATAGGAAGCACATAGAAGAAAAACATCAAACATCTTGAAATTAATAGAATTTTATGTTATTTATGCTTAAAATTACTTTAAAAAAGTGCAAAATGGCTTTAGAATTGTAGTTACTTTTTCCACAAGACTATTACATCAACTGACACATTTGTTGAATAAATAATTGCAAACGTACATAAGCATACTTTTGATCCTATTTGATGCACTAAGAGCCAGGTCCTGTTAATCAAATGTATTTGATTAATGCATCATATAAGTATGACCACCTTTACAACAGCACAAGTTTTAGCAGTTTCCTGGTCTTCATTCAGGTGTGTGTTAACACAATGCTACAGTCTTCACAGGAATGGATGTCCTATTAAATTCACCCCAAGGACAGGCCTTGGAACGTTCAGAGAAGCTGACAAAAAATACAAAAATAAAACAAGAGCTGCAGCTCAGACTCTACAGGCCTCAGTTAGCATGTCAAATGTCAAAGTTTATGACAGTACAATTGGAAGGGTTGCCAGGAGAAAGCCTCTTCTCTCTACAAAGAACATGGCAACACAAAACGTAAGACTTCTGGAACAATGTCCTTGAAGAACAAAAAACACCACAGTGGAGATGTTTACCTATAATGCACAGCACCACGTTTGGTGAAAACCAAACACAGCATATCAGCTCAAACATGTCATACCAACTGTCAAGCATAGTAGTGGAGGGGTGACTTGCATTTGTTTTGCTACCTACAGCAGACCTGGCAGTTATTGAATTGACTATGAACTCCTCTGTGGACCAAAGTATTTTAGAGTCAAATGTGAAACCATCTGTCCAACAGCTAAAACTTGGCTAAAACTGGGTCATGTAACAGGACAATAATCTCAAACACAGCAGCGAATCTACAACAGAATGACCGAAAAACAAAAGAATCAAGGTATTGCAATGGTGTGGTCAAAATCCATACTTCAACCTGGTTGAAATGCTGTGTCTTAAGACCTTAGGATGAATGCTCACAAACCTTAATGAACTGTAGCAACATTGCAAAGAGGAGTGGGCCAAATTTCCTCTATAACGAAGTGAGAGACCAATAAATTCATGTGGAAAATGATTACTTGAAGTTGCTGATAAAAGCTGCTGATTCCACAAGCTATTAAATCATTGAGTGTACTCGTTTTCACGTATATATATATATATATATA